TACTCCATAAATTAGCTAACGTGAGGCTTACTCCAAACGGTCTTCAATATTTTTTTTTTTTATAATTAGAATCCAAAGCAACATGCTCCAAGAAAACTGGAAGGCTTGCAGGTGTAGGTCAGCAATCCTCGGTTGTGGGGAGGTCAATCTGGGAGACCTTTTGAAGTCAGAATTTTCAATTTCTTATAATCTCAAACTTAGCTTATTCGAGTAATCTATTTTCATTTTATTTGATAAAAAATAATCCGTTTTAAAAACAACAATGGATTAAGTTCTTCTTCAATAAATCTTTTTTTTATAAATTTATTAAATTTTGAATGAAATTTGAGATTTAAAATGGTGTGATATGAGCCTAGAACAGAAATTAAAACCAATACATAATTTTATAAATTAACTCGATGTTCCACATTTTTTGTACTATAAATATCGTCCTCTGTTTTCATCTTCTCCACCAATTGCAAACCAAAACCCCAAGTTTTGTGTTTGAAATCGATACCCAAAATGGTGATGTCCAAAGCATTCTCTGAATCTGATGTTTCTATACATTCCACATTCGCCTCCCGCTATGTCCGGGACTCTTCTCCTCGGTTCACCATCCCCCAAAACTCCATGTCCAAGGAGGCCGCCTTTCAGATCATCAACGACGAGCTCATGCTGGACGGCAACCCACGCCTCAATTTGGCATCCTTCGTCACCACATGGATGGAGCCCGAATGCGACAAGCTCATCATGGACTCAATCAATAAAAACTACGTCAACATGGACGAGTACCCTGTCGCCACCGGTGCATCAACATGATCGCCCATTTATTCAACGCTCCATTGGGAGCTTCCGATGTAGCGGTGGGAGCTGGGACGGTGGGGTCGTCAGAGACCATCATGCTGGCAGGGCTTGCCTTCAAGAGGAAGTGGCAGAGCAAGCGGAAGGGTGAAGGGAAGCCTTATGACAAGCCTAATCTTGTGACGGGTGCCAATGTCCAAGTGTGCTGGGAGAAATTTGGTAGGTACTTTGAAGTGGAGTTGAAGGAAGTGAAGGTGAGAGAAGGGTATTACGTGATGGACCCTGTTGAGGCGGTTGAGATGGTGGATGAGAACACCATCTGCGTTGCAGCCATTTGGGGTCCACTTATAATGGTGAATTCGAGGATGTGAAGCTGCTGAACGATTTGTTGATGAAGAAGAATAAGGAAAATGGATGGGATACGGCGATTCATGTGGATGCGGCCAGCGGTGGGTTCATAGCGCCGTTTTTGTATCCAGAGCTGGAATGGGACTTCCGGCTTCCTTTGGTGAAGAGCACCAACTAATATGTGAATGATGATCAATTTTTCAGGGTCTAGCCAAATCATAGCTCAATATTACCAACTAATCCGCTCGGGTTTTGAGGCAAGTCTTGCTTGGATTTTAACATAGGTACCCTATTCCACATTTTATTGATACATATATCTCAGCAACACTGATTCTTTGTTTTCAACCTCACTTTCTCCGACACAATCACTTTCCCCTTCCCCAACTTAGTCTAATTCATTTTCTTCCTAATGACCCTTCTCCCATAAACCTTAACCTCTCATCTCAGGATCCTCATCAGCGTTCTCATCGGAAATATACAGAATCTCGACAACCCCATATCGATCTTCTGCAAAGATTTATCTTCAGAATTCGGTGGCCGCACTGGTCTCTTCGCCCTTGCTCTGGGGTGGCTCCCTCTTTGTCCATTGGAACTTCACCACCTGTTATGGCGCCGACTACTTCTCCACCGACTCCGCCTTCTGCTCCATCGTCGACCTCCACTCCTGATAATGGTGGTGCTGTGAACAGAATCGCTATCTCTAGATCTATCATTCATTCATTCACTCCTGATTGTCTCTTTATTAGTCAGTTAAAATATGCTCAAGATATTTTAATTCATGCTCATTTGCTTGGTGGCAAACCAGTCCACAAAAGCACTCGTCTCTACCCCTTTTCTTTCTTCGTCTAAAATAACATCCCAGAGTCAGCATTCTTGCTCAGTTTCTGCCATGTTCTTCCTCTCTTGCTCTGCCACCATGTCCATCCCTCTCTCTCTTTCCATTTTTTTCATAATAGAGTCATCGTCCTAATTCTGAAGTCTCTATCTTACATCTCAAGTCATTGTTGTTTCTCAACATCTTATTGTTGTTGGTTCTCTTCTATCCTCTAACGACCTTTCTTTGAATCTTTCAGATCCAAACTTAACATTCGTCTAAATCTGTATTTAGGCTTCCATTACGATTTACCATAGGTATCATATTTAAAGTTTACATAAGTATCATATTTGACAATTTATCCTTAGTATTTTATTGTTCTCTCCATTCCTTTAATAATTTATTTAATAATTATAAATAGAGAATTTCATGCTAATATTTTCGATATATGTAGCCATAACATTATCGTAATGGGTATATATAATTCATAGGGATACCGCAATGTGATGCAAAATTGTCACGACAATGCAATGGTGTTGAAGGAAGGGCTGGAGAACACAGGGAGATTCAGCATAGCATCGAAGGACATTGGAGTCCCCGTGGTGGCGTTCAGTCTCAAAGACAGAACTCGCCACGACGAATTCGAGGTGTCAGAAATGTTACGACGGTTCGGGTGGATGTTGCCGGCGTATCAAATGCCAGAGGGGGCCAAGCATGTGTCAGTTCTTCGTGTGGTGATTAGAGAAGATTTCTCTCGCACCCTTGCGGGGCGTCTTGTGCAGGACATCGTGAAGGTTCTGGGAGAGCTAGACAGTCTTCCACCAAATAAGAACATGGGTGCACCGCAGGTTTGATGGGTATTAAATCATCAACAGTTACAACTTTGAAGCACCAAGTATAACAACATAACTTTCTTATTTCTTATTCTCACTCCCTGCATATGCTAGCCCATCCATGTACTCAACCCAAACTCAACCATGTCAAGGCCCATGTACCCCACCCTCTTCCATTAAAATGGGTTGGATTGGATTGAGTTGTGGATTGAGTTGGATCGATGAAATTTATAATTTAAATTTTTACCTTAGCACATATTATATATTGTCTTCTTTTCGAGTATTTTCAGACTTCTTCTAAAAGTTTTTAAAACGTGTCTGTAACAGGTTTCCCTCTTCAATTAATGTGCGATCTCACAATCCACCCGAGCTCAAATGTCTCTGGTTACTATTTGTAACAATTCAATCTCACCCCTAGAAGATATTATTCTCTTTGAGTTTTCTCTATCGAGTTTTCTCTTGGATTTTTGAGCTGAATTTCTAACTTAGAACGTTCTCCTCTCCAACCATGTGTAATATAACAAAATTGTTTAATCTAACCTAAAATTTCAAATTGGTTGGAATATTGGGATTTACCATTCAATTATATTTTCTTTTAAATTATTTTAAAAAAATCATACTTATCTATGTTATACTAAATATTTAAATATTTAGAGTGAGTTCCAATCAAATCATCCAAATTAGGTAGAAAAAAGAGATAAAAAAAACATTTTTAAAATGAGTAAAAATCAAATTCAAATTAAAAAAAAAAAAAACAATTTTTAATAAAAATTTAATTGATACATTATTGAACATAATTTACCTATTAAAATGTTATATCTTCAACTAAAAATAATTTAGTTAGTAAATTACTCTCTTTTGTAATTTTTAAATCACTCATTAAGTAAATTGAACTTAAATAAAAGTTAAAAAGACAACATCATAATTATTCTTTTAAAAAATATGATTGGTAATGCAAAATAACAGTTTTAGTAATCATCGAGTTGAATCAACAAATTTTCGATAATTATTATTTTAGTTCCATGTTTTTACTTGTCTTTTTTTTTTTAAATAATATATATTCATCTCGTGAATGTTGAGAATGTGACCAAAATTATACGTTTGTTAGATCAAAATGACAATGTCATATTATTGTGGAATATTTAAAAAGTCATTATTATCCCATAATTTCTCGTCCCGAAATTTTTTAATTAGGATAATCATTTTTGAGAAAATCGCAAAAAAAAAAAAAATTATTATTATTATTATTATTATTATTTTGGGAGTGATAAGAAGTTTGAAATGAAATTATTAGCGTAAATGATGCGAATTATTTATTTATTTATTGTTTAAGAAATTATTATTCCAGCTGTACATGGGCCTGGGTATTCAAAAACCTTGTGATTGGAGTCCTTTTTCTCAAAAATAAAATATGTTATTATTATTTTTTGAATTTTGAATTTTGGAGGTTGTGGCCCAGCCCAGAAAGCCCATTAGAAAGCCCATTAGAAAGCCCATTATGAGATTACGCACTCTCCCCACCGTGTGATTGATCCATAAGGGCACAAAACACCACAAATCCCATGCCTCCTCTGCCGTCTGATTCTGCATCATTCATTCAATCAATCAATCAATGTTCTCCCGAAATACAATGCTCCTTTTTTGTCCTCAAATGAACACAAATTATTCTCCACCGTTCAAACTCCCCCATCATCATCATCATCACCAATAAATCAAAACCCAAAATAAAATATAAATTAAATAAATAATATTGGGTCCCACAAACAAACATCCAAATGGAAAATCTTCTTCCTCCATTCCCACCCTCGTGGACCCCACACACATGTCACCACACCACACCATGGGCCCCACTCAAAAAAAAAAAACACAGGCATCAACCTTCATACTTCGGTGCTTCCTCATTTATAGCATTCTAAGTATGTTCATTAATTAAACCTATGTTTTTTTATTTTTGTATTATTGGGTCGGGTAAGTTTTGTCTTTGAACGTCTGATATCTCATATTAGTAGACACGTTTTAAAACGTTGAGATTGATGACAATACGTAATAGGTCGAAACAAATAGGAGTGTTCATGAGAAGTGGAAAAAGAAAAGTTGAAATTTGAACGAGGCTTTAAATTACTTTTACACGCGAACAAACCAAACATAAAATCATCACATTTGCAATTATTTAGTCTCCCACAGATATTCGTTTCAAATTTGAAGAACCATCCTCACTTTTTTTCTTCTTTCTTGCCGTTGACCGACCACTTCTTTTGAATAATTTATAAAGACCCATTTTTTAAAAACCCAAATCAGTTTTAGTAATTACAAAATGAGTGGTGGTAGTGAACTTCACTCTCTATCTCTCTTCAATTCCTCGCCCTTGGGTATTGCAGTAATGGATGCCGCCGCCGCCGCCGCCGCCCTGGACTCATCTTTCATGCCGGCGATTTCCACCGGATATTTGGAAGATGCGTTGGTTGACTACAATTCCAAACGACGGCGTTTGGGTCATCATCTTCTTGAATTCGAATTCCCACAGAGGTACTGGAGTTCATTTTGCACATGGGGTGGAGATGCCCTTGAGAGTTTCGATTGGAACAACAACAAAATTGATGATATGAATAATTTTACAGGTGGATTTTTCTTTTTTTTTTTTTAAATAATTCAATTTATAATTAAACAATTGAATTGGAACTGAATTGGGGTTTTGGTATTCATCGGTTGAAAACAGAGGAAGGAATAAGCACTTCGCCCAAAAGCAGAGTCTTCAAAACGCCGCCGGACATGGAACCGTTTTCCACTCCAAATTCCTCTTCTTCGTCCTCCTGTAAACATCCAGTTCATCCAGAGCTCTCCGGTCATAAAGATTCCATTTTCTCCGCAGGTCTTTGGTCTTTTCCTTTCGAACTTTTGCTTGGTTAGGGTGTTTTTAACTTAATTTGGGGGTATTGTTGAAATTGAGCAGGGAGTGGAAGTGAAAGGAAGAAGAGGAAGGTGGTGTATCCATTTGCATTAGTGAAGCCAGGAGGAGTAGAAGGGGATATAACCTTAAACGACATAAACAAGAAGATGTTAATGCCTCCGACACGGGCGGTCCGACACCCGGTGGGGGATTTTGCGTGTCGGCCGTACGTAACGGCGGAGGGACGGGGTCTGTCCGGCAAAGCTGTGGTGACATTGACGAAAATCCATACTCAAGGAAGGAGAGGGAGCATCACCATAATCAGAACAAAGGGTTGAGAATGGATTGAACATCATTACTTTTGGTTGAATTGTACAGAGAGAAAGAAGAGAGAGGTTAGTTAATGAACAGACTTTTTGGTCATTCGGAATCTCATAAAGAAAAAGTGTCTTCGGTTGGTTAGATGTGTTTTAAAATCATATATAACGAGCTCAAACGAACAATGTCGATTAGTGGTAGACTTGTATTGTCTCATTACAAATGGTATATGGGAATGGAGCAATTTCACATATAATAACTATGCATGAAACTCGTGACCCACTGCCCATTATATAATTGCACAATAACAAGACTATGATTATCAAATTAAATTCTGTTTTATATATATATATATATATATATATATATATATATATATAAAACAATTGTATTGGAGACAATATCCAACACGTGGGCCCTTCCCCTCTTCTCCACTCTATCAAGTTGCTGCAAATTCCTTCACTTTGACTTGACCTAACCTAATTGCATCAAGTTGGAGATTGTGAATGTTTGATTAATCCACCACACTTAAATGGTGTGAAAAAGTTATCTTATTTATAATCAAATGAATTACAAGGATATGGAAATAGTAATAAATGGAAATAACAATAAATGGAAAGATACCTATGATAATAAGGCAAATATCTAATATTTGCGTTATAATAAAATATCAAATATAACTATAATTTATTACTAAATATCCTTAACAGAGATACATAAAACTATGATATCTCGTAACAATAACAACCACCAACGTTGAGACTTAGATATAAACATTAAATTGATGCATCCAATTCAAATTCTCCACCTCCCTTTGGAAACATAAATTAACTTTTAATTTCAAATAAAATACAATAATAATTATATATAATTTAACTCTATTTTTCAACTTAAATAAGAATTTTAATCCCATTTTTTTTATCTCGTTTACCAACGTTGATATATTTTTAATCTTTTTAAAAATTAAATTTTAAATTTTAAATATATATATATATATATATAATCTAAATCAACCAATAATTTGAATTCCAAACATTTCTATCAGTCTCATGATTGTTATATATTTGAAAACCGGATTCTGTTGTGTCACATGCCAACCATTAATTTCATTTCTTTTCTTTCATTATTTTAAATCAGCAGCCAAAAAAAGAAATAAAATATATTTACAAAAATAAAGGAAATCCTAGATATGCGTGAGAGAATGTCGGCTTCTTTTGCTTTATTTATTTTTTATTTTTGTAAGGTTGAAAATTTTAATCGTAAAAAAAAAAAAAAAAAAAAAAAAAGGTTATGAATGACGTTGGATAAGGCCTTGTTACTTGGGCCCAACCCAACAATGAGTGCGTTTAGCCTTGACTTACAAATATGGGCTTTACTGGCCCAAAAATCAACTCAATAAGGTTTGATGGGTGATTCCACGTATAAACGTAGGACTACCTTCAAACTTTTTATTGGGATTTATGTTAGTTAAATTTTATTGCAATTTAATAGTATAAACTTTTCAAAATTATTAGTTTATTTTGAAGAATATATTATGACAATCTGTGTAATAGTTTAAAGGGTATTTGTAATTAATTATTTGATTATTTTAATTGCCATTTTTTATTATTCATTATATAAAAAATCGAAGGCAGTGATGTAATTTTGAACAATATATTCAAAAAATTGTATATGAATAACTCTTAATGTCACATCCTAATGATATATAATTTACTGGGTAATTATTACATGTAGAATGAAATATTTAATAACTATTTATAAATTTATTAATTGAGAAAATTAATGTTTCACTAATTATATACGACTCAGTCTTAAATTTAAATTTAAGTGTGTTATGAACTTAGATATATTAGTTTTTTTTTTTAAAATTTACATAGGTGAAAATGATTTTGTAGATGTATAGTTACTTAAAGTACTAATTTCAAGACTTGAACAATAAGATCTTTTACTGCTATGAGTACAAGAATGACTTAGTTTACTTTGACTTTATCTTAAAAAGATATAAAAATAATATATATTAAAATGGTAATGGGGTTTGTTAAAATGAAGAGGGGAATCTCTTGGACTTTGTTGACCGGAAGTAATAGAGTTAATTGCAAATAAAGTTTGAATGGTTCAAACATCATCGAACATAGGAGTGAGTTTAAGTTAAATTTTATAAAGTTTCATTTTTTACTTTGAAATTTATTCTAAAAAGAACACTTTTACATTTTAAAATTGTCAATATATATATATATATGTGAAAATGAATATAAGAACTGATATATAAAAATTAAATAAAGATTAAGGATTTGAATTAAAAGGGAAAAAAGGACTAAATTTGTAATAATGTGAAGGCGACATGTAGATAAATTCAAATAATTTTCTTAATTTTTTTATTATTATTTTTTTTTTCTAGTTTACAACAAAAGAAGTAAATAATGTGAATTGAAAAATTATGAAATTAGGATGAATTTAAGAAACAGAGAAGCGCCAAGAGAACAACAACCTCATCTCCTTTCTCAATTCTCGTCAATCCGCTTCAAAATCCAACGCAGAGACGGAGATTTGTTTGTGGCACTTCGTTTTAAAATTTCTAATTTCGAGGAAAAACGCGGGAAGAGGAGGAGAATTGCGGCGGAGGCGGCGGTGGTGGAGGTGGTGGAGGAGCTTTCGGATTGGCGGCGGAGCAGATGCAGAAGAAGAAGAGCTTTTTAAGAACACGGCGGAGAACTGCGCCACGTTTCGGGATCAAGCGAGGAGCAGTGACGGCGGCGGCCATTTGGAGGGTTTGTTTTTTGTAAAATGAACGGCTTGTTTACTGCAGTTGAGAAGACAGGGGAAGGTATGAGGAAGGTGAGTGGGTTCAAAGTGCGGTTTAACTAGTTCAGTATATATAGAACCAACGTTGGAGCTCTAAACGGTGTCGTTCAGGGAGAAACCATTAACNTTTTTTTTTTTTTTTTTTTTTTGCAAGGACTTGTTCTGCAATCTCAACACTGGCCGCCACTCGACCGGGTCTATTTTCTTTCTTCCATTTTCCCCATTTTACCCCTACACCATACACCCTACACACCCTACACACCCTACACACCCTACACGCAATATGGCTCAAGAAATTTACCATAAATAAAGGGGAGGTGCCATTTTAGTCTCTTAATTCCTTTTTTTTAAAAAAAAAAAAAAAAACTATTATTTTACTTCCCACGTGTGAAAATCTTAGTTTTAGTTATGGTTGTCTATCCTTCTAGTTATTCTTGAACATTATTTTACTTCCCACGTGTAAAACTATTATTTTACTTCCCACGTGCAATTCTCAAACGGAACATTTTTTTTCTTTCCACCGACAATCACGTTTTACCTTAAACATACCTCAACATTAAATTTCTAGTTTATGATAATGCGATAACTTGTAAATTTGTTTAATCTCGGGTACGAATTTCATATATATATATATATATATATATATATATATATAT